ATCCATTACAGGTCTGAGGATCGTGCAGCGGGCCTTCATCTGCCCTGGCCCACAGCCAGGGCCTATTTGGCTATTTGTCAGTCCGGCCTGTGGGACGAGGCCGTGGCCTGACCCCACAGGCCGTGCGGTTATTCAGTCCAGTCCAGTCCTGTCCGGTACCACTGTCGGTACCAGGCCAGTCCAGTCCAGTCCAGTCAGTCCAGTCCAGTCAGTCCGCTGGGGGAATACCCCAGCTGCAGTCTGTTTTGTGGCGCATTCTTCATTTGCACACATTGGAGTACGTGCGTGTTGAGTCTGCGTTGGAGCTGCGTTGTCCCTTCCAGCTCCATCTCCATCTCCCCCATCCTCATCCCTTCGTCTTGATCCTGACGGACCGCCATCCCGACGGGTCCGTCACAACCTCGCCTTTCAATAGTCGTGCACCCACAGAAGACACAGTCAGCGGGCACTGTACCAACCACAGCGTCCGCCTCACTCGGCCGGAACCAACAAGTACACCGACCGTAGCAATAGTAATTTAGCTGGCTGCAGCCCCGCCTACACCCACGTCATCCCGATAGTAAGTCAAAATTCAGCAGTAGTGACCCAAGTTCATGCAGACGCTGAGTACACAGGCCACGGCCGTGTGCAGGTACATGTTTCCATATTTGGAGTTCACGCTGAACATCAGAACCAGATGGCCTATCGGGGGGGCAGATGGGTCATGCCCTCACTACAGCTTCCGTGGTGACCCAATCTGTTATCAGTCAGCAGCCATAGCCAAAGGCATAGGCAGGTCAGTCCTCCCTTACTCCTCTCTTTCTGCAACAGCCTGTAGCATCCTTTAAATATTTGGTGTCCGCACGTCCTGACACAGGCAGGCGAGATCCATACTACAGAGTTGAAGGTCGTGAGCAGCAAGACCCTGCACGGTTGAATCTCTTCACATTGACGTTCACAACAATAGGCGGACTCGCTCGGCGCTAACATCCACTGGGATCGCTGCGAACTTCACTTTAATCACCCAGTCGGATCCCCTATGTCCTTGTTCCGAGTTGACAGCTCGGTGCTTAGGGGCCGTCTCATGTCTGCACCCGCTGCCAGCCCTGCAGTCCGGTTCGGTTCATCCCGGACCTTCAACTCGCCTCTGAGGTAAGCTCTCCTTCGCTTTCCTCATTCACATAACCAAAACCCAGCACCTCGATACCGACGACCCATCCTCCTCCATGTTCAAAGTTTAATCTAACCTTCGTTTGGTTTCAAACCCCCGCGTCCACGAAACCCGTAGGTGGATACCGTAACTAACGAAGTGACGAGCCTTCAGGTAAGTATTCTTTCTCCCTTTCCTCGTCCCGACCTTTTCTGGATGTGCTTGGCCTGTAATAGTGGTCGTGCTTGTTCCATCTTGCAGCGTACAAAGGAGGACGCCACCATGAAGTCTGTCGTCGCATGCTCCTTAGCAGGCCTGCTCCTTCAAAAACACGAATCAACTTGATCAGGTAAGCACATCCTACGTCCATTGATAAAATAAACAAATTCGTAATGAACCGCACATCCTACGTCCATTGATAAAATAAACAAATTCGTAATGAACCTCCCCGCAAGACAAGCCAGATACACTGCTATTTTTGCGCACTCGAAGCTCTCTCCCCACGCAACTTCTAACGCCAACTTCACGAAACTAACATTCTAAAGCAAAAACTAACATTGATATTACGTTCGCTACACCCGTAAATCCTGACCTTGCCTCTTGCTTCACCCGATTCCGTACGGAATCAGACGAGATATCAAGTCCGTGCCTCCGCCACCTCTCCTTCTTCAGTCACTTTCGTCACCATAGTTCCTAGTCGTAGCCCCATCTGTCATACCCCGAAAACTAACCACTTACATCGAAAACTAACTCCATATTCTATCTCGCCCTTCTCAAAAACCCCTATTTCGAACTTTTCCCTGCCCGATTTCGTTGAGGAACGGGCAAGATATTCACTCCTCACTCCCATCTTCTCCTCCTCCCGATACTCTCCGCGCACCTCTCTTCTCTACTAACTCTAAATCTACTCCACTAATTCCAAAACTAACCACGGATCTAAGGTCGCCCGCCCAAAAAAAACCCGTTTAGGCTCTTCCCTTCCTCAAATCCGTAAAGAAACAAGTAGGACATTCATTTCTTCACCTTATTCTATCTGCTCCCGCCATAGCCCCGGCGTACTAATTCTTTCTCCTACCTCTTATCCTACTAATTTTTCTCTTAATCTAACCGCATATTCGGGGTCGCCCGCCCCGAAAACCCCTATTTAACACCCCCCCCCCCGCCTGATTCTACCAAGAATCGGGTGGGGTAGCGTTTTTCCTCCCCGCCATGCCCGCTTTTCTTCCCGTTTCCCCATCTCTGATTTCGGATGCACCCGGCGCGAATTCGCGCCCGGTTCGCTTCCCTTTCCCTGCGCCCGCCACTCCCTTCTTGCACTTACTTCGTCTCGGCGGCCGCCCACCTCATTTCTTCGGGAGCACAGGCTCATTCTTTCCGTCCGGGTTTACCTTCTTCCTCCGTTGACTTACTGGCTTTAACACTCCTCCCTTTCCTCCTTGCACCTACCGTACTTCCCCCTCGTCGCCATCCTCACCTTCGTGCTCCAGGAGGTACCTGGCGCAGCCCCGCACCCACGTTCGCTCCCCCTGTATCGATACCGTCCGACTACAGTAGTGTA